ATGTATGAAGTTGTGTTTGTACAAAGCTCTATTTGTCATGGACAGGAGATGTTAATTTTTTTCCTGACTTCTGTCCTAATGGAAGGTCATGGGTTGCACTTGGTATATTATGACTTTAAATAGTTGGCAATTGTGTCCAGGCTGTCCCAGCAAGGTTCCCTGACTGTGAAAAGTGGTGTTCTAGCTCATTCATTCTCAGATTCCAGTGATAGTCCCTTTAATTTCCCTTTGCTCCTGTTGGATTCTAGAAAAGGTTAATTAGTTATCCACTGAGCTTGATAAAAAAGGATTTTTTTTTTTTAGAATATAGTATTAAAAGATGTTCTATTGGGGTATGAAGGTAACACCACAAGGGGGTACTATAATTTTATCAAATTTGCCTTGGTAACTTGTTTTATTAAGGTAAAATGATTACAGCCTGCAGAGTTAATTTTAATATGCTAATACACCACAGCAAGTTGGAAACTTAAATAAAATGATACAATTAATTTAAATTTAGAGAAGGTAGAGAAGCTTAGGAAGGTCACCTGTATGTTACACTGAGATTGCATATAGGCTTGGCAGATGTAAAGTGGGTTTCCCAGTGCAGGCTCCAGGAGATCCCGGGGTGTTCTGCATTGACCTTTGTGGGAGAATGTTAATACAGCTCTGCAAAAACTGCCTTCTCTGAAAAGTGTTTTCATGTGAGAAAAAGGAACCCTTTCCTCTCTCAGCTTAGATGTGTGTGTGGGTTAATGGTTTTAACACCTGTATGGAGGTGGATGTTTATTAGGACTTTTTTTTTTTTTAAATGGAAAAATGCATCCTCTGGCATTCCTCTGTTAGTGGAGTAATTACTCTTGATTAAAATACATTGCTATGACTCTGGGTGAGGGAAGGGGGGTGGGTGTTAAATCTCCAGGGCTGCCACGGGGAACACAAGAAGGAGGGGGTAGAGCTGCTACCAGTGGTCCCTGTTGTCTTTAGAGGTTTGGATGAGCTCCAGGGAACCAAGCTAGAAAACAGGGAAGAAATAATGTGTCAATAGAACACATGAGCTAAGTATTTTCTCCTAATTTCTACAGAAGAGAATGAATTTGTCATTGCTGTGACCCTGTAGAGTGAGTTTTACTCTCATTAGGAGGTTCCCGAGATCACTGTTTCCCCCAGGATATGGAAAACCAGATTGCACGTCAACAAACCAGTCAAGAGGCTGATTTGCCAGGGACACTAATTGGGAATGATGTAATTACAGGGGATTTTCCAAATGCTTTTCAAGATGTTTTCAGTGGCTGTTTGCAGTGTGTTACTGAAATCCTCTCATAACATCTGTGTGTATTGGAGAACTTTGTCTCCAGTGCCCGCAAAGTGGCCCGATCAGGACGTTCCGTGGTCATTCCTTGGCTTTGCGTGCAAGATGCACCCAAGGAGCATCATCAGGACATCATTAATTAAGAACTGTAACCTCAGTGTTCTGTATCTTCCCCACTAAGACCAGGAGGCTGGATTTATGGACATTTGAGTGCCAACAAAAGGCTTTCATTTCCCTGGGTCTGAGCTTTGTCCTGCTTAGGAAAGCTGCAGGTAAAATATGGCAAAACTGGGAGTTCTGGTGAGAATGTTTAGTCACGAAACCGCACAGGTAACTTTTTTCCAAGAAAAAACCAAATGAGTGCATTCTAGATTTGTACAACAAATTATTGGTATTGAATTATCAAATTATATGCACAATTAAATTTTTATTAAATAAGGAATAGCATATGCAATATTATGCTAATCTTGTGCAGTATAACAAGTTTGTAAGTTTAACACACTGTGCACTGAGCCTCTCCTCCCCAGGGACTCGTTTGAGACGTAGGGCATTCAGCAATTGAAAAGGAAATTAGAAAATGAGTCACTTGAGTAATTTAAACATGCAAATAAGTGTCCCAACTGTGGTGATACCAGATTTAGCTGAATTTACTCGGGCTGCTTTGACTTTATCACCCTAATTATTCCAGCTTTGTGTCAGGCTTAAGAAAGCAGGAAGCCAGAATTCTCTGTTACAGGAGTTTCTCGTGGTGCTGTGTTATTGCACTGTGTGTTCACTAATGCACTCACTGGGAAAAACTTATTCCAAGGGTTTTTTCCCTGCTAATTAGCAGAACAAAGGCAATCAGGACTGTTCTGTCACCAGAGACTTGAACACACTTGGATTTTATGTGCCAGGCTGAGTGAGGTACAATGCATGTATGTTCTGATAGCAAATGTACTGCACAGCTGAGGGAATTCCTGTGCTGGAGCCCCTCAGGAATTCAGTAAAAATTACCTGTTTAGGTAATGATTTTTTTTTTCTGAGAGCCATCTCCTTGTGTGGTTTTGATGTTAAAACATAGCTGGCTCCATGAAAATATCAATTATTTTAGAAATCTTATCTACAAGCAACTAGTTGCAAGAGGAATGCTGATGGAAATGAGCACGTGACCCAGCTGCACATGCAGGGCTGTTTTCAGGCTCGTGTTAATATTAAAAGAATGTTAATATAAAACATTAAGATAAGAAACCAGAGTCCAGTCTCCACCTCCATGAAGCCCAGGAGCTCCTGCTGAGCTTTGCAAGTACAGAAGTTCTGTGATTAAATTGATTTAGCCCTTATTATTGGCATTTGGGTGACTATTCTGAGGATGTAAGATTTATTTTTTTTTAAAGGTATCTTGGTGATAAAATGCTGAGAGTCTAACAGACATTTCTTCTTAGTTTTTGGCGTAACTCTTTAAATTTTTTCCCTCAGGAAGTGCACAGAACAACACCATTTTTCACATGAATAAATGGAAATAATCTTTGCAGCCATGGATGCTTCTTAATATTACTTGAAAGTAAAGTCTCACACAAGGCTTCTAGTCTATAAAGAAGGTGAGAAAACAAATAAGAGCAAGTGTTAATTCATGTACACAGAATTTGTGTCTGCACAGCAGGTGAAAATGCTACATTAATGCTGGAAATATCTGTCCTGCTGTGTAGTTTTCCTTCCTTTTTATTACTTCAGTGTTTGGTCTCGTATGAATGCACCGTACTTATTTGCATGTTATCACGACGGATTCCTCTTTGCTTCTAGTTATCCATATAAAGAGAGAGATGCTCCACATGACCTCAAGAAAGTATTCAGATGAAATACTATCTTAAAATATCTCGGGTTTCACAGCACAGTGTATATATACATAAATTTTATTTTTAGTCGAGGTTATTAATTGCACACAAAAATGCCAACTAAGAAGAATGTTGGTAAAGTGTAATGTCAAACACTTCTAATTATGGGAATGTCAGAGGCAGGGGTCAGTCGGAATGTCCACGAGATTAAATAGAGAATTATCTCGGGTGAGTGACTCAAACATTGAGCACCCGTGTTTGAGGGACCACCAGCTGTGGCCGTGGTCCCACCATGGAGCTCAGTAATGCCTGTGTTCACCAAGGGACCCAAACCTTCCTCTGGGCAGGGACAGGGATGGACAGTCCATGCTTTTTGGGAGTACCTGCTCAGTGTTCAGTCCTGTCCTTGCCGAAACCTTGAGCTGTATGTCCAAGTGAGCCTGTTTCCAGTAAAAATAGTCTTGCCTTGGTGTCCTGGGAATGCAACATCCTCATGAAGTACAAGAGGAACCGAATGTGATCGATGTTGTGCTCTGTGTTTGGGCTGGATGTTTGTCTGCCCCTGTTATTAATGCTTTTTGGGCTGACGTGAGGGGTGCTGGAGTAATCTTTAGTGCTCTCCCCCCTCGCATGGCCAAAACCACCGGGGCAAACACGCTCCATGGGCTACACATTCCTGCTGGAGTGGTCAGCGTGAGCGTGACCTCCTGGTGACTGCTCTTCCCAGCGCTGAAGAGCAAGTCATTTGCATGATGTAATCAAAAGGAGCAATTTGTAATGAACCAAGTGGTCGAGAGATCTCTTGCAAGAGTCAGGGCACAGCACAGAGGCTCAGGGAAGCTGTTGAGCGGCGTTGGCCACGCAGGACGTGTGAGCTGCTGTGTCGGTGCTGGCTGGGGGAGCCTGTGAAGGCTGGGCTGAGCTCTCCTTGTGGTTCCTGGCCTGCCAGAGGCAGAGCTGTGCCAAAGCCCTGCTGAAATCTGCTGACTGCACCGTGGGAGGGCATCCTTGTAGTCTCCGTGTCTATGTCTTCATCTTCCTTGTTGTGTTTTCAGCAGTTTGTAAAAGTTCATCCTTCAGGTCTTAATACACAATGAAACATTTAATCATTTAAAGTTCATGTTAGGTCTGAAAATGAAAGTAGTCTGGATCCTCCAGAGAAATCTCAGTGACTCCAGACAATATCAATACTAGCTTTTTAAAGCCAAGCTGGCTCTTGGCTGCCCAGGTGACCCTGGGGCATCCCTGCAGCTCTGAGTCAGTGAGGAGACTTCAGTTCCTCTCCAGGTTCTTTCTGGAGCTTTCATTGGGTAGCAAAAATGTCACTCAAAGCCCTCGTTGTTTAGTGAAGTTGTTGCTCTTCAAAGAATGAGTCAGATGAGGTAGCTGTCAAAATATGTGCTTGGTCCTCTTCTGACCTAAAAAGTCTATTTTTTGGTCCCTGATGTCATGAGGCCAAACTTTCTCTCCTCACTGACTTTAGGAAGACAACTGATGGTGATACTGCGTTGGATGTGTTGGGAACTACGTAATTAGTGTCTGAAATCAGCACGTAATAGCTCGTCTTCATAAATTTATTTTCCCTTCTGGAAAAAAGTGTTGATATTTTAAGCATTTTAACTGTTCCTGCTTATGTTTTTGCTTCCTTTTATGACATAAAAATTCAGTTTTGTTCATTTTGAGCCTGACTGGAAGGGGAAGTTTGTTTATTTTGGCAGCTTAGTTGTAGATCCGCCAAGAGGAAAATGAAAAACTGTAGCCTGTGGGCATTCTGTGTGTGCTTATCTCCATCCTGCTGGAGGAGGGATAACTGTCTCCTTCATAGGAAAGGAAAACAGTTTGAGGAGAAGCCTCACTTATTTGTATTTTCTCTTTTTGTTTGTTTTTTACTGTAGCAATTCTGCACCACGTCTCTTGGCAGTCGTCGGTGGCACAGACACACCCACAGCTCAGGGTATGTTCTTAAGTACTTTTGTCCAACAGAAGTTTAAATCGATATATTAAATATTTGTTTTTTCTTCTCCTAATGTTTGGATAATAATTTGAGACTGTATATCTTTGAGTACTAATCTAAGAGTGAATCAGAAAACAATAATAATTCCTGTAGACTCCTTTTTTCGTGTTTTAATTCGACCAAGGGCACACATTCCAACAGCCTGGGCGCAGCCGCTGGTACCCTCAGGACTGTGCTCTCGCCACAGCCAGGGACAGGCGTTGTCAGGTTGTCCTGCTGTGATCCCAAACACCTCCCAGACTCCATTGGTGCCGTCAGTTTCCAGCCAGGACACGTGGAGGATGCAGAGGGAGCCTCTCTGCCACCCCTGATGCTGTGAGACCCCTCAGCTGCAGCCTCCTCCGCACCCGCCTGCCCTGCAGTGACACGGGGCCAGCAGAGCTTGGTCTTGGCAGGTAAGTTAGGGACAGCTAATTCCTGCTCTCATGGGATCTGTGACATCTGGATGGGAGGTACCAGACAGCTTTATGTTACAAATCCCAGGATGCTCGCTCCATTTGCTTTTGCATTATCATCTACTTAACTTGAAACATGTGAAAGATTCATAGTTAGGAACTTTCCACCAAGTTTTATCGCTTTACTTTGTGTGCTGTTTACCACTTCGATATATGGGAATTTTTTCTTAGAAGGGATGATAAACATGTAAAATCCTAATTTTTAGGAGTCGGTACAGGTTCAACTACTAGTCCTTTTAAAAAAAGAGATTCTAGTGAGGCAGAGAGAACAAACTAGGTTGAAAAAGTGAGGGACCGGGGTGCTTTCTGGTAGCTTTTTTAAAGCTTCTTGCTCAAAGGCATCTCCCCTGTCCTCGGAGGACTTTGGTATTGGTTTGATGTCAGTTCTTTGACAAATAAACTCTTTCTGTTATTCTAATCATACACGTACGCTGCTAATAAAATTCTTCCTCGGGGTATCTGGGAGGAAAACCGTATTCCTTTGTTTGGGCCGGCCAGCGGCTGCAACACTGGTGGATTAGCAGATGAGAAGCTTATTCCAGAGAAAGAGCTTTTTCTGGAAAATTACTTTGACAGAAACCTCTCATTCCTGTGACCAGAATTCACAGGCTTTCGAAGTAATTAGGGGGACTTCAGTAACAAATAAAATACATACAGCAAATCCAACAGGAGACTCGACCATTGCTCTGCAGCCTTCCCTGGCTGTGGGTCCCTCCTGCCCCTAGGGGAGTGGGGTAAATGAAGGGGAAGAGGAGTCACTGCTGGTGCTGAGCAGCCTTTAGTGCTGGGAAAACAAACTCATCCCTCTCTTTTTACACAGAGCTCTCTTTCTTGGAAGCAGGAACGTGGAGGTGTGGTGGGACAGCAGGCACCAGGCTGGAACTGTGTGGTTTAACATGTGTCAGTTCCTAAGGATCAGTGCAAAGGGCATTCTGGAGACTGGGTACTATGGTATGGGATGCCACTGGAGTGCTGCACCATCACGTGTCACCACCTGCTGGTGGCATCACGTGTAGTCCATCCCTGTGGTTGGCACCTGGTGTGTCCCACTGTGGGGCAGACAGGACCGCACAATTCCCCAGCTCCAGAAAGGGAAGAAAGCATTTGCATTTTCTTGATATGTCTTTAAATCATTAAAAAGTCTTTGGGGGCGGGAAGGGGAAGGGAAAAGCCTCTCTGGAGAAGTGGTGCTTTTGATGGCCTTTGCTCTGTGGCTGGTACCCAGCACTGAGCATCACCCTCCTTCTTTTGTGCTAATAACAAACCCACACTGTGGGGTTAAGGCTGCTTTGCTACTGTACATGTGGGCCCGAGGCAGCACCTTCCCTCTGAGTCAGGATTTTCCACTCCCTAATGTGTGGAGGTGACGAAGACTGAGGGTGTGCTGGGATTCTGTGCCAGCTTGGGCAGCCCAAGCTGAGGGAAAAACAGTTTTTCTGGATCTTACTTGGGACTGATCCTAATTATATTTCCTTGTGCTGTCAAAGCGGGTTTCTCTCCCTCCTGCCTCCAATCCTATGGCAACAGGAACCACAGGTCACCATTAAACAGAAGCAAAATCTGAGGTGTTTGAGCCACATGTGCTGTGGCAACAGCTGGATGGAGTGGGAGTTTCCGTATGTGTGCTTTCCTGTAAAAGTTTGGGAAAAATGATGACTCCCAGTGCAGAATTCCTGTGTCAGCCTGGCACCATGGATCATTGGCATTGGGCCGGTGACAGGCAGGGGGAGGTGAGGTGGTGTGGGCACATCGTGTGGATGTGCCACTGGAGCATTGCCATCCTGATGCCGGAGCCTGCCAGATGCCAGGCCTGTGGGCAGGTGGTGGGGGGGGGATGGTACCAGCACACAGCAGGTGCCCCCCCCGACCTCATCCAGGCAGGAATGTGCCCAGCAGATTTCCCCCAAAGGAAACATGAGGAAAACATCTTGTTTTAGAGAGATATTTAATATGTTTTTCATATTTGGAAAGCAGTTAATGTCTGGGAATGTCCTTTTGCTCCCTGGCCAGCATGATTAATATTACTTTTGATCTTTTTTTTGAAAAAAAATTCAGCGTAAAAGTGATTTATCTGCAAGGAAAGCAACAGCAATTATTTACTCTGTATTCATGGTTAAAGTTGGTTTCTTTTAAAACTGTTTTGGGGAGGGTAAAAGTTCTTAAAAATAAACATGGTTTGAATTATTTTTAGATTAAAATACTTTATGGAAGGAGAGCTGAGTTTTAGTGTTTGAGCAGTAAACCAGGTAGTCAAGACTTTGGGGAAAACACAGATGTAGAAAGGTTTGCAGAAAGTTGTGCTTTCAACTACCTGGAGCTAATTGCACGGAATGGCTGATGAGGATGTTATGAGAACGCTCCTGGGTCGTGCCCCGTTGGTTGTGCCCAGGTGGGCTGGTTTCGTTTCCTTGCTGTGCTGCCAGCCCTGTGCTGGGGCTTGGCTGTCCATGGGCTGTGCTGTGCTGTGGGGGATGTGCCAGCTGGTGGGCACAGGGATTAGGAATGGGACATCACCGGAGCAGGGTGGGATGCTCCCAGAGGTCGCATGTGGGAAAGCGTCACCCACTCAGCTGGTCCTGTAAAGCACTGGTGAAAGGTTCCCTCAGCAGTGCACCATCAGGGGTTGGTATAGGATTATAATCAATGTGCAGATAACTCAGGATGTGTTTGGAAAACTGCATCAGAGTTATTGTTCAAGCTTTTTTGCCTGTAAAGCCAAAAGCCGGGTCTCAGTGCTGCAGTCTGGCTGGGAACCACGGAACCGTGGAACAGCTCAGGGTCACGGGATGGAGTTTGTGGTGTTTTAATACTTATTATTTTATCGTGGGCCCTTCCAGAGCCAGCAACAGATGGGTTGCCCTGGAGCCAGGGATGGTCCCTCTTTGCAAACCCAGGTCCACTCTAGCACTGAAACCAAGTGGCTCTTGGGGCTGAGCACCACTCGCCCGGTGCATCTGGCTGGGATGCTGCTCGTGTCTTGCTGTGCTAGAGGGGGAGGAGAAAAGCCTGCTTTGGTTGTTCATTTTTTTCAATGTAAGTGTTTAAAGCTTGAGTTATCTTTGGGAGATGCAGTAACTGGTGATCCATCCATAACCCCTGTGAGGGGTTTGGGACACACAAGTGAGAACGGCAAGTGTGGGAGGATGGAAGCACAGCCATTGTCGCAGATCCCTCATGGACAGAGAGAGGACACGAGCTTTACAGCCAATGAGGTTCTGGCCCAAGTTTGTCACATGTTTCATATTAATTTTGTGCTTATTTTTCCACATTTTGCTTTTCACAGCTTTTTTTAAGAGAATAGGTGAGTTTCTTGTTTGATATTGTTATAGTTTTATCTTTTGTTTTACAACTAAAAAAGAGAGAGCCCAGAGGTGTCTCCTGGGCAGTCAGAGGCAGTGAGGGTCCAGCTGGGCAGTGACAGGGTCCTGTGGAGTGGGATGTGTTGAGTCTGGGTCTTTGCTGGTTCTTCTAATTGCTTTCTGCCTCTGGCTATGCCGTGTCTAATTAAGAGTAACATATTAAAAAAAACAGACTAAGCTATTGAACCCATAATGCATGAGTAAGCTAAAAGGATAACCCCAAGTTATTTCTCTGCTTACAGAAAATAGCCCAGAGTTTTTCATTTTGTATTAAGGCTGTTCTGGTGTGACAGCACATTATGTACCACAGACACGATTTTCAAAGAAAACACCATTTATCCTTCTCATTTGATTAAACTCTGGGATGAGTAACAGAGATTTCCTTTTACTTACACATTCCATTAAGGTCCTACAGATGCGATTTGGGTGAAAATATTGCACTGGTCAGATAATTGTGCAAAATCACCCATGTTATTTTCAGCCTTAAAAGCCCAAAGTGAAGTGTGTCCACCCCAGCTGGGACAGAGACACCTGACAGTGGTTCTGCAGGACTCGTGGAGCAAATCCTATGGAGCAAATTGTGATGGTCTTGTTCCCAGTTGGAGCTCTCTGGGCTTCTTCACCTCCATAGTTACTTGGTAATAGAGAAAATGGTTTGTGCTTTGTATTCCTGTTGATAACCTCACAAAACTTGGCTGCAAAATCCCTTGGGGGAGGTGTTGTTCTGGATGCATGAGCTCAGGCTTCACCGAAAGAGTTTATCGTTTCCTCTGCCATGACTGATGCAATTGGGGCTTTTTGGTCTTATTAGCACTACGTGACGAAGGGATGTGGCCAGAGAAACACATTTACTGAGCTGACTCACTTCTGTGTACTGAGTAGCCCATGACTCACTCGTGCATCCTTCATCTGCAAGTCTGCTCTGTTGAACATCTGATGGTTTTGATTTGTCTCCTTGGAACTGCCTTGGCACAAGGTTATCCAGGATGAGCCTATTGATCAGCAGCTCTTTTGGAGACAAAAAGTTTCCTTGTTGTGGGTGATGTTGCACAGTGCTCTCCAAACTCGACCTTTAGACTATGGCAGAGATGTTTCCTGGCTGAATCATCTTCACTTTGAGACATCCCCATCACACACCTGATCCCCCTGTGTGGTTGGCCCTTGTTCTCGGTGTGGGATTCGCTACCAGAGTATTTTGATTAGTGCAAGTGACTTCTGCAGGGTTACATTTTCTGTGTCAGGATGCTGAGAGTCCAAACCTTCCATCTCGTCCACTTTGATACAGTTGTTTGTTCTTTTAATTGTTAGTGTACAAAACATAACTGCACTCACAATGAGTTTATGCAGCTAAAACTACCCCGTTCCTAAAGGGAATTTAGATTTCCATTAAATATCAGAACAGTTGTCTGAAAAGTAGTCCATAAATTTTTGTCCTTCTTCAAGTGTCTCAGGGTTTGGCAACTGGTTCCTCTGATGGTTTTTGTGTGTGTTTTGTTCTGGTTTTTTTTAATTATACTTGTTCCCACTTTCAGGCAGGGCTTCCACTGGTCCCTCCCAAGGTGCTTCAGCACACAGATGTGA